AAGGAACCCAATGGAGTTTGATACTCAACTGGAGATGAGAAGTGAAAGATAGGGAGGACTTGCGAATGGTTCCATGATGTCTGGTGCGGGACAGTAGATAACAGCTGCACAGAGTGCAAGAGAAGCAAATTTCACTGATCTCCAAGTCCTGAACAAGAAAGCTGACTTACTGCAGGCTGCTTTCCATCATCAAAATTCACAAAGGAACACGATTATTGCAGGAACCTGCACATGCGCAGAATACCCACCTTTCACCTCCAACCTCAACTTCCAAGAACCTTTGTCCCTGCCCTCTTGGGGAGCCCAGAAATTAAGTGATAGCTGCCAAGCTTCTTGGTTGTGTGTTTTGAAAATAAATGTCTACTTTCTTCCACCACTCTGACATTAGTGATTGGCTTGCTATATTTCAATCAAGTGGGCCCAGCTTTTATAAGTTCTGCAACAAAAACTGTTCTGCAAATCATTGAAAAGAGTCCTAGTACTCACTCAGGTCTTACATTCATTTGCTTGTTTTTGGTGGGGGGTATATGGAAAGGGGAACAGAGGACATAGCTTAAGAATCATACATGCGAGTTTCTGTTTTTGTATCTTCACTGAGCTCTGCTTCTTAGTATGCTGTAATTTAAAGGCTTAAATATTCACTAGTGTGAATAATCATGAGTAGGATCTATGCATGTTTTGAAGTCCTTTTCAGTTCTCATTTTCTATTTAGAATAAAAAGAACTTCTCTTTTATTCAAGAATACAGTATCAGCATTTGTATAGCCATACATATGTCACTGGTCTGAAAAGTCATATATAAATAATTCATTGAAATGAATGTTAAATTGTGTTCTTTGCAAGTCAAATGCATACAAATCTTTAATTGTTAAAAGCAGAAAGTATTTTTAGGCAGTGAATTATTGTGATGAAAAATCTACTCTGTAATTGAGAATACATGCTGTCAGGAAAGGATTCAAAGCTATTTTCTAAAATAAATTTTATTACAGGAATGTCAAATTCTCTCATAAACCTAACTTCCAGTATTCTCTAATGTTGAAGAGTACAAATAGTACAGGAAAAAATAATTATACGATATGGACATGATGTGCCACTCAGTAGAATAATCTTGGTTCTCCAATTAAATCCAACTTACTTATATTCCTTTTACAAGCCCACTTCTGGGTGTATATTTGTTTAATTAGACTACTGACTACGCAAGCAGGGTGCAGAAGCTCCTGGCTCTTATATTCCCAATGTTTTCTCTTTTTGCTCTTGAGATAAAGAAGATCAAGACTGGAGCCAATAATTATGATAATGAATTTATTTTTTCTTTTCAAATTTTGGTTTGGAATTTGTCTTAAGCAGTCATTTAATGTAATCATATTACACAGGTCAAGAAGCTTATTAAAAAATGGGTCCAATGGTAGAGAACTTTTAGCCCAGACACAACCATTGTGACTTTTAAAGCAGAGAATTGCATTTATGTAGAATGAACTTCAAATAGCAATTGTTCTGTTAGTTTTGACAGTTATCACTGGAGTCAACAGGATGTGGTCACATTCCATTTGAGATAATTTCTCTGTTAAGGACAACTGAATAAATGGTAATGTCTATCCCTCTTTATATGCCAGAATACCATGACATATCTAGTACACAAGGAACTTTCTAAATATATCACCATGGAATCTCATATGTGTGTGTATACACATGTATATTTCCTGTATATACTGAATAAATTCTTCATATTTTTCTAAGGAGAGAAATAGTGGGATTCCTTTATATTTAATTTCAGTTCTTTCAAAGCTGATAAACATTATTGAGCCTACCCATCAAATTAAAATAAAATAGAATGATTCAACATAGAAAAATGTCAACTGCTGAACATAAGGGCGCTGAAATAACCAATCATAGTCTGGCAAACACCCAAGGCATCCCCCATAGCAACAGAGCTGATGGCATGGCAACTGCAGCTGCTTTATCACAGAAAAATTAGAAGAAATATTCTTGGGGAAAAAAGCATACTCCATGTTAAAGTCATATATGACCTTTTTCCTCAACAGAAGAAACTGTGAGCATGAATGTGTTAAATGATGCTACTCCTTAGTAGCTGTAAATACTCTAGTGCAGGCTGAAACCATATTGAGGACAACACTCAGGGCAAAGTACTTTGAAGTTAAAGCTTCCTAGGATGTTCTCATCTAAACTGTTAGGTTTCTTGTAATGTTGGAGAACAATATTTTCTTTAATTATTCAGGTTGGTAAGATAAAAGGATTTCTACAATGTTTTGAAAGGATCATTCAACAGAAAAAATTATTGGAGTCACAAATCCACTTCATAAGCACTTGAAGGAAGCTAAGAACTGAAATGAAAGGCCCAGCATTGGGCGCGGCAGGTCCTCATATCAGAGCACTTGTTTGAGTCCCCGTTGCTCCACTACCTATTCTGCTCCTGCTCATGTGCCTGGAGAAGTAACTGATGAGGCCAAAGCAGTACTTGGGCCTCTGTCACCCACATGGGGAACCAGGATGGAGTTTCAGAATCCTAGATTTGGCCTGACTTCTCCCATCAGGGCAGTGAACCAGTGGATAGAGAAATTCTGTCTCTATTTTTCTCATCTCTATCACTGAGTCTTTGAAATAAATATATCAATACATTTTTTTAAAAAAGTACTTAAGTGAAATATACTGATTCAAATATTTTTAAATTTTATAAAACATCTGTAGAATTAGATTTTGCTATTACGTCCATTTGAGGAGTGAACCAGCAGATGGGAAGACTGATTCTCTCTCTCCTTGTCTCTTGCTTTCTCTCTGTCAGTCTGCCTTTCATAAATAAGCGAATAAATCGTTAAAAATAGAATATAGGGAATAATTTTTTAATATCCATTTCTTTGACATATTGGCCAGTAATACTCACCAAAGTTTAAGAATGTTAGTATTTTATAGTATCTGTAAGGGAAGTACTTTTTACAATCAAATATTTATTATGAAAAATTATGAGTTATGATGCAATAGAATCTTAAAATGTATAGATTGATAAATCTTATATACCTTGTAAATAAAATGTCTATGTAAATAAAATGTATTTTCATATTTCATTTTAGAGTATTTGTGAACATATAGAAAAGACTATTCTATATAGACATCAAAACTAAACAATAATGATGATATCAAAGTATCTTGAAATACAATTTTACACATAATGCTTGTATTTATAATAAACTCATCCATTAAGGAAACTGTGAATATACTATTAAAATCACAATGTGCTAGCAACCTGATTCCTATCCTAAACTATAGAACATTTACACAGTAAAAACAATCTATGTAAAGCTAGTACATTTAATTTTCTCTCTCGCCATCAGAAGAAGGAACTACAAGGCAAAACTAAAATACAACTTTATTCTTTAAGATAAAGAAATGGATTTTTTGTTTATTGGGAAAATCAGGTTTTTTTTTTTAACTTTCAAACTGATAGATTATAAAAAAGAAAAGTGTCACTATGCACTAAGTGAAAAGTCACACTGTTCACAGGAATTGCCTTAGAGAGCACTGCATTCAGATAATGAAACAGTGATAGTAAGTAACAGCTGTCAAAAGTAATGGCCCTAATAATGCTCACAGGCAGAAATGCCCACTATTCACAAAAACAGAGAGAGCTAGTTCCAGCTAAAGAATAAAATCCTAACCTCAAGCAATTTCCTTTTAACACTAAAATAACTATTACTAATTTTGTTATTATTCTCATTGATTTGGTGCTTTTTAAATTTTAATTATTTATAAAGATTTATTTAATTTTTGAGAGGTAGAATCACAGGTGAAAAAGAGAGAGAGAGAAAGAGAGAGTGTGTGAGCATAAGAGAGAGATCTTCCACTTCCTGGATCAGAAGTAGAGCAGGGGCCAGCGCTGTGGTGTAGCGGGCACAGCTGCTACCTGCAGTGCTGGCATCCCATATGGGCAACGGTTCAAGTCCTGGCTGATCCACTTCCAATCCAGCTCTCTGCTATGGCCTGGGAGAGCAGTGCCAGATGACCCTAGTCCTTGGGTCCCTGGACCCACGTGGGAGACCTGGAGAAAACTCCAGGCTCCTTGCTTTGGATCAGCCCAGTTGAAGCCATCTGGGGAGTGACCCAGGGAATGGAATACCTCTCTCCCTCTCTCTGTCTCTCTCTCACTCTCTCTCTGCCTCTGTAACTTTGCCTTTCAAATAAATAAAAAAAAATCTTAAAAAAAAAAAAAAGAAGTAGAGCAGTTGGGACTCAAACCATTGCTCAGATGGGACACATACATCACAGGCAGCAGCTTACCCCAGGGCACCACAATTCCAGCCCCTGATTTGGTGCTTAGTGACTACTAGGTACTATGGTAAATGTTGTATATTTAATTGACATCATTTAATTTGAATGATGAAGAAACTGAGACATGGGTAATTTATTGAAGCTCAAACAGCTGGTATGATCAATGTTAGCCTATACTCTAAGATGCAGGTCCAAGTTTTAACCTTTGAAAGCCTCACCTATCCACCCATACTAAGTGGCTCCATTAGCTTCATAATTTTATCTTTAATATAGAAAAGAAATCAAAGCTGTATTTTTTACAGTACATGGATTAAAGAATTAAAACTTCATGCATTTTGAATTCTTCCCCAGTAGCTTCACCCAACACATGCCTAGGCACTTATTAAATCTCATTTATTTTTCCTTAAAAATGTTTATTCATTTTCATTTCAATGCCACCCCTCTAAACAAAGTTCTCATTGTTTATTAAATAAATAATGCTTTAATACCTTCTTGTTCAAAACACAGAGCTTGGTATCAAAGATAGGAAAAGAAAAAAAAAGATGATGAGTTTTGCCTTTAAGAACTTTAAATTTTCATTATGATTATGCAAAGATGCTCTTTTACACACTTATCATAAATTTTTATAATAATCCTGTAAATAAGATAAGATTTTTATTGACATTATATTTGAGAACATTGAGACTCACTATAGAATCACAGAGATGACATACTACTTACTATGGAATAGATCCATATCCTGTCTGAAAATATAGATGATATTCTCTAACCAGTATGTTGTCCTTCATGTAACTGTCCAAATGGGGAGGCCTCTGTGAATGACATAAAATATGCCAGACATTCAGAGACCAGAAAAATCCTAGCTAGCTTGATTAACACTGGAGAATTTGCATGCAGGGTGTACAACTAAAGGGTGGGTAGGTTTTAGGTTGTTGGTCCCTGAGGAAAACACACCGACCACGGAATAGTACAATACCCATTTAGATAACGTGAGCAGAGCTTTGGCTCCTAGGCACTCTTCAATGGGAGACACTATCTAATAAGCAGAGAAGTGAAAAGCAAGAGTACTGGAGGCAGCCATTGATGGGATTTCTAATCCTGCCAATGGAGTGTCTTGGAGAAGGCACTTCACCTTTCTGCAGCATCCATCTTTACAATCTGGCACAATAACACTAACTGTAAGATCTGGGGAGGGATGGTAACACTAACTGTAAGATCTGGGGAAGGATGGTAACACTAACTGTAATATCTGGGGAGGGATGAGGGGGAGTCAGTGACATAGTTCTGGATACATGGTGGTCCTTATAAATAAGACTTCTATTCTGAGCTAAGGAATTTGGCTTCTCTCCTGCTTGGTTGGAAGCACTCATCTGGTTTCCCACTGCTTACAGAATGCAACTGAAATGCTGTTGCTTGGAGTTTTTTCCCAGCACTCCTGACACCTGTTTTTAGCTTTAGTTACACTAATCTATTCAGAGTTTGCTCAAAGATGTGTGCCCAACTCAAGCCAGTATGTGTGGAACTTCACTGTTTTTAGTACTGAACATCCAGTGTCCTGGAAACTCCTCAGTTGCCTCAGGAAAACTGGTACAGTTGATCATCCCAGCCCAAACATATTACATATTCCCAAAGTTCTGTATATTTGACTTCTTATGTATTTCCATCACGAAGTTGCCACCTTGCAAGGATTCATTGAAGGCAATACAGGCTGAAGTGCTTGAAATGCTTGTAACCAGAACAGAATCAGCTTTCTTTTTGTTTCTTTTTAAAATAGACTTTCATAAACATAATGAGATATCTTAGAGATGAGACCCAAGTCTAAACACGAAATTCATTTATGTTTCATAAGCAATTTATATGAAGAGCTCAGAGGTAATTTTATGCAGTATTTTTAATAGCTTTGTGCATGAGACAAAGTGCTATGATGTGAAATTTTCATCTTATGATATCATGCTTACATTCTTAAAGCATTATGGGTCATATTTGGTACCAAAATATTTACCAAGTATAACTGGATCAGAAAAGTTACAATTGGATCTATGGGTTGGGAGCATATACTGAAAATATCACTTTAACTATTATTTGGAAATAAATACAAAAATCTAGAAAAACAGTACAAATTAAGCATATATACTTAACCAGATTCATCTCATGTGAAGGTACTTTGAAACAAAGAAAACTATAATTGAAAGATAGGTTTATTTTTTGAAACAAAAACTTTTAAATCTGTGTACAGTTTTTTCATAGTAATCATTTCTATAAATGTTTTTAAAGACCCATTGTATAAATGGGGCTCAAAAAGTTTTTGCACCACAATGAGCTTGTCTTTTCATTTCATTTTCCATGAATTTTTTGAAGCACTCTCCTATTAAACTTTTTAAAAATTTGTTATACCAGATTCATGTATTTGATATATATATTTATAAAGGAATATAGCGACACTTCTTGCCACACTCCATCTCTTCCACCCTCTCACATTCCTACTCTTAATTTTTAAAAAGATCTATTTTCAGTTTACTTAACAATCATATAGTTAATATTATACTTAGTAAAAGAGTTCAACAAATAATATGAAGAAAAAACAAGCAAGAAAGCAAAAAACACTATTCCTCAGTGGAACAGAAAAAAGGCTGTAAACAATCATCAAATCCCAAAATGTCCATTTCATTCCAATACATTACCTCGGATCAGGGAAAATATATGAAATCTGTCTTTTTGGAACTTGCTTATTTCATTCAATGGTTTCCAGTTGCATATATAATATTGCAAAAGATAGAATTTCATTTTTTCCTTTACAGCTGAGTAGTACTCCATAGTGTATATATACCATAATTTCTTATCTAATAGACAGTTCATGGACATTTGGGTTGATTCCATATAGTAGAATTACTGTGAATTGTGCTACAATGAACATGAGAATACAGATATCTCTTTCAGATGCTGATTTCTTTTGGTCTGGGTAAATTCCCAGGAGTGGGATGGTTGGATGATAGGGTGGATCTATATTCAGATTTCTGAGGTATCTCCATATTGTCCTCCACAGTGGTTGTACCAGTTTACATTCCCACAGGTGACCAGGGTGTCTTTTTCTCCACATCCTTACCAGCATTTGTTGTTTGTTGATTTCTGTATGGGAGCATTCTATCTGGGTTGAGGTGAAACCTCATTGTGGTTTTGATTTACATTTCCCTGGTGGCTAGTGATCCTGAGTATTTTTTCATGTGTCTGTTGGCCATTTGAATTTCCTGTCTTGAAACATGTCTGTTCAAGCCCATTTCTTAATTGGATTGTTTGTGTTATTGTTGTTGAATGTCTTGAGCTCTTTATAATTGCGTAGTTTGTAAATATTTTCTCTCACTCTGTCAGCTGCCTCTTCACTTTGCTGAGTGTTTCTTTTGCAGTGCAGAAGCTTCTCAGCTTGATGTAATCCCATTTTTCAATTTTGGATTTTATTGTCTGTGCTTCTGGGGTCTTTTCCAAGAAGTTGTTACCTATGCCAATGTCTTGCAGAGTTTCCCAAGTGCTCTCTAGTAATTTGAGGGTATCATGTCTTAGATTTAGGTCTTTGATCCACTTTGAGCTGATTTTCATGTAAGGTGTAAGATATGGGTCTAGTTTCATACTTCTGGACGTTGGAGATCCAGTTTCCCCAGTACCATTTGTTAAAAAGACTGTTGTTCCTTCAGGGATTGATTTTAGTTCCTTTCTCAAAGATAAGATGGTTGTAGAATTATGGATTGATTTCTGGAATTTCTGTTCTGTTCTATTGGTCTACACATCTGCTTTTGTGCCAGTACCAGGCTATTCTGATTATAACTGCCTGTAGTATGTCTTGAAATCAGGTATTGTGATGCCTCTGGCTTTGTTTTCATTGTTTAAGATAGATTTAGCTATTCAGGGTCTCCTGTGTTTCCATATGAATTTTAACATCATTTTCTCTAGATCTGCAAAGAACGTCATTAGTATTTTTATTGGGAGTGCATTGAATCTATAAATTGCTTTTGATAGTATGGACATTTTGATGATGTTGATTCTTCCAATCCATGAACATGGAAGATTTTTCCCTTTTTAATGTCTTCTTCTATCTCTTCTATAGTGTTCCATAGTCTTCATCGTAGAGATCTTTGACATCCTTGGTTAAATTTATTCCAAGGTATTTAAAGAACTATTATAAATGGGACTGATCTTGAAAGTTCTTTCTCAGCCATGATATTGTCTGTGTATACAAAGGCTATTAGTTTTTCCACTATCTCATTAGATGTAGAGAAAGCATTTGATAAAATACAACATCCTTTCATGATGAAAACCTTAAGCAAATTTGGTAATAGAAGGAACACTCTTTAAGCCCATGGCTAGCATACTATTGAATGGGAAAAGGTGCCACTAGGCAAGGAAAAAATATCAAAGGGATATAGATTGGAAAGGAGGAACTCAAACTATACCTATTTGCAGATGACATGATCCTATTTATAGGAGATCCAAAAGACTTCGCTCAGAACCTATTGGAACTCATAAAAGAGTATGGTAAAATGGCAGGATATAAAGCCTATTAACATTTTATGGCTTTGTTTTATCATTTGTGTTCTTTCTGTAACATAAATGTAATATTTTTCAATAGTGATTATTTAAAATTTTTTAACATAGTATATAGATATGTTCAGATAGGTTCAGTGGGAGAACTCATTTCTAACCACGAAGAAACAATATATGAATGGGTTTTCATCATAGTTTTGCTCAAAATCAAATGCTCTGGGATCTGCTTTCAGAAGAGGACAACTCCAGGTGTTTCTAGTAAGGCCCAGGAAAAATAATCTGGGATTCAAAAGGACCAGCTGGAGTCTACTCAGCAGTTACAGCACCAAGGAGTTCCACTAATAGACAGGAGACACTGATGGGTTTGAGAAAAGAGGAAATGATACTCTCTTAGTGCCCAAGTAAGATAATAGTGATTCACATTTCCTTGACTCTTTGACCTGTCCCAATAAGATGATTTATGTCTAGAATTCAGAAAACTTCTTTTCCACAAGAGAGACCCATTTATCACACTCACTTTTTCACTCTAGTTATTCATAAGCAGAATGATAAAATTAAGGGCCACAGAAAGAATTAGACTGCTGTCATTAGTGTGATGGGTTTTTTTCTTGACACAGTTATACAGGATGAGGTAGTGGGTAACTAAAAATATGCTTCACTCCTGAAACTTTGGGATTCTGCTTTTAATTATCATTGAAATGTCACTAGAGATGCACTTCAACAGTTTTTGATAAGATACAAACTAACAAACTGAATCCAACTGCTACAGGGGGAATTTTTTTAATTTCACAGCTGGTTGAAAAATATACTGTGGTCGTATAAAGGAGAAATCATAACAATGGCCACCTGTGATATGAAAATATATATCAGTGCATGAAGATAAACACTTACATCTTAGTTAAAATTGCTTTTGTTCATAACAAAACATAGTTATTCTATCTGGTCTTCTAAAATTCAAAGGATTCATTTTTCAATTACCTTTACTACTATTTATCTGGAATACAACCAACCTTTAATTTACTTTATTGCTCCCTTATTAAAATCTCTTTGGATTCCTTCCCCTATTTAAGTGTCTGGTATTTTGCACTCTCATTTCTCACATGGGTCATATTTATGTGTTGTTCTAATAAACAAACACATCTACCGACTACACTTGGCGTTGATAATGTTCTTCTTGCTCCAAGGAAAGAAATTCTGGCAGTTCTATTAAGAAAGTGGTACCAGTACTATTAATCAATGTAAGGGTTGATTTCATCCAATAGAAACATGTGTATTCCAA